GTATATGTATACGTATAGTTATATACATTAATGTGTGTATGCTTATGTGTATTTATGTATATGTGTGTACATATTTGTTTACGTTCTTGTAACTGTATAATAACTACTGTACTTGTCGCAAAGCCTAAACCCGAGAGTTCAGGTTCGGGGGCTTACAGTTTGGCCCGACGCGTCGAGACAGAGGCTCCTTTCAGCCCCGAGAGGGGCTCCTTCGTGCCGTCTCCTCGTGACGCCGTGCCAGCAGAAGCTCGGCAGGGGATTTCTTGGTGCAGAGTTTACGGGGCTTTACGCGCGTAAAGTCTAAAGTGCTACGGGTTTGGGACCATACCGTAGGGGGTTGAGGGTTTAGGTGCCAGGCTGGGGATTGTGAGTTCATTCTAGCATTTCGGATGTAGGATTTGGGATTCTCGATTTGGAGTTTTGGGTTTGAGTTCCTTGCTTTCGGGCTTCGTGCAGCAGTACGACCTCAACCGGAAACCTGTCCCATGAAAATGGTTGCAAGTTGCAAGTGCAGAGCCTGAAGCCTCCGGAGACGAATGTGGGCTCTACCTAGACGTTGATTTCAATCCGCACTCTGCGGTTTTTGTACGGCCCTGCAGTTTTGCTAGAAGGAAAATGGACGCATGGCATGTCCCTTGAAGGTCGGTTCTGGTTGGTTGAGACGGAGAATCACTGGTGGTGCAGTTCGTTGTTTGCTGGCTGGTCATCGGATCCTGACCACGGAGTTAAAATGGGATTATGCGTGACCTAAGCAACTTCACTGTAACCCTGAGAATGGAGACCCTCCAATGAACTCCAGTGTTCTACAAAAGGAGGGTCTCGGTACTCGTAGCTCGGAATTTGACCCCGCTCGTTTGCCTTGTCGGCTCACCAGCTTAGCTCCTTGTCACGAAATTTTCTGGGTGTCCAGAAGGACCACCCCACGAATCTTTGGGGACCAATCTTCCCCAAACCCTCTACCCTGCATGGGCCTTAGACTCCTAAACTTTTCATCAGACCTTTAGACGCTGGATTGGGGTGCTGCTTGCGTTTCGCAAACGATCGTCTTCAGCACTTGGCGTGAGCACCAAAGTTTAGCTAGCGAAGAAGCTAACGCACGAACGATGGCCGGCGTGAAAGCCGAAGCCGCAGCCCCAACCGTCCAGGACCTGTTTGGACATTCCATTTTGCGTAGTTCTCCAAATTAGCGTCCCTTTGTAGCACCTTACACAACGCACACGAAAAGGGACCCTGACTTAGACATCCTTTTGGCTTCTGGGTCATCGGCTTAGGCTTTCGCTTTCAGGGTCGGTGCAGCATCAAGCATACCGTGGCACTTGCAAGTAGTAACCCAGCTCAAAGATCAAATCCGGAGGTGGACCGTGGGCTCAAGCTAAGGGTTCAGGGCCCAACAGGAGTATCTCAACTGGCGCAGCCACCTAGCTCTTCATGTCGCTAGACCCTGAGCCCTGTGGCCGCTCCTGCAGCACCGTTTACAAGCGGACCTAATCCAAGCACTGATAGGTACTGAGAAAACTTTCTCGGTCTATGTGGCACGAATCACTACCATTGATCATCATTCGGACCAGCGCAAAAGCAATGTTGTTCATCATCCTCACTATCATCAGTGATTTCAAGCGGGTAACAAGGGTATAGCCCAGTACCACACATGTCATAACCGCAATTATTATCTTGACGTCATGGCCGAAATACACCAAATCAGCCCAATAACACCAGCAGTAGCAATATTAAACCCATAACTTAAGGCTTAATACGCCGTCGAGCCCTAAAGCCATTACCACTGAGCCCTAAATATCACAAACCTACAAGCAAGAAACCCAGGCTCTACAGCCATAAACCCCTCAAAGCTGTATCCGGAGAAGGCTCCAAAGCCTGAAACCCTAACAGGCAAGCTACAGTCGCAAAAGACTGCACACACACACACAAAGAAACGCAGACACCAGAAAGGCACAGTCACGCAGACCAGAAACCTGCAGCAATGTACAGAAACGACATAGACACAGGAACCAGCAATAAACATCAAACAGCAGCAAGACACACACACACACACAGAGAGTCTCACCAGGACCAGCTCTCTCTGCGATCGAAGCTGCTGCTCGGTTTAGGCCAGGGAGTCGAAGGCATCTGGATCACCATCGGGGGCTTCTACTTGAGCCCCGGCACAAGGGAGTGTTAGGGTTTAGGGTTTCGGGGGCTTCTACTTGAGCCCCGGGCACCGGCTCCCTGGTGATCGGGGCATTGTAGAGTCATGACAGGGTGTGTTACCTGGCTTTCTCAAAGATGTTTCGAAGGGGGGTCCGCCTAAAAGTTTGCAAAGAGATGGAGAAACCGTGTAGAACACGATCCCCTTTTTAAGGCCACTCTCTTTGCAAGTATGGCAAGCCCCTACTTCCCTGCATAAGGGCTAGGGTTTTGATAGTTTTTTTCGGTTCAACAATGTTCAGGTCTTCTACATGAGCCCTGGCGGTCGGGGGGTTAGGCTTAGGATGCAGGGTAATTCGGGCGTCTAGTTTAGGTTCTAGGACTGGGATCAATGAAGGGCTTTAGGCTTTGGGCTCTTGTTGCGTCGGGTTTTATGGCTCTTTGAAGGCATGTGTTCGATCAGTTGGAGCCTGGTGTTGCTAAAACGAGCCCGAGCACTAGTCATTACTTTATTCCTTGGCTTGAGAGAGCTTTTCATGTTGCGTGATTTCACGGTTCGTGGTTGAAGTCCGGCTTCTGCTTCAACCTGGTGCTGCAAGTTTCGCATTTGAAGGCTCCCGGCTCCGGTCTTCCCTGTCCTAGCCATGCTTGTAGTCCGAGCGTGCAGACCTTCCCCCCCCCCCCCCCCCAATAACCGGGGGATCTCGATTTTATGATTTTCGATGTCTTTGGGGGCTGGGGTTGGTGCGGCCCTCGTACCCTTTTCCACGAGACTTCTCCGGCCCTTGGGGTTGGTGTTCAGGGTTCGTTGCTTCTTCCGGCTTTTGCTTCTAACAGTGTCTATACTAGTCGTGAACATTATAAACCCCAGACCCCGATGTCCTTAAAACTTAAACAGCAATGCGAAGATCCTCGGATCCTTGGAAACCAAGCCAAAACCCTAGACCCTCTGAACTACACCCGAAGCCCCAAAGCCAAGGAACAAGTTCTTCTTGGAGTCATGCTGCATTGAGCCAGTCTACGTCGCCATCATCCAGCACCCCAGCTGATTGAGAGCCATAGCGGATCTAGAAGGGTTACCATAGTAACGGTTACTAAACGGGTTCTAAAACCTTCCCTAAACTCTAGGTCTCAGCACCCTTAAACTCCAGAAACAGACGCCCCTCAATCTCATAACGTTTCATAGGCCCTAACCCCAAGCCTGAAAAAACGCGTACGGCGTAGCCCCAGCAAGAAGCCCCTCAATCTCATAACTCTTTACGGAACATGAACCCAATCCCTAAACGCGAAGCCCCAGCAAGCCAAAATCCAAGCCCTAAACACACCTAACCCCAAAATCAAAGCGCCCACGCTCCCAAAGAGCCATGAAGCCTACTGTACGGAAACTGTGACATCCTACAGAATCCATCTGAAATTCCTGTGCTTAGTAGGGTAGTCTCTCGGGCACCATAATCCCATTTATCATCCCAAAGGTTCCAATTAACCTTTAATTCTGGACAAGTCACTACAACCCCCGCCTGTATAAAGCTCTAAACCCGAAGCCCTATAATCATCAGGCTTTGCGTCGGCCTGTTTGATGCCTTCAACGACACGCTGATCGGAGCTCTCTCCGACAAGACGCGCACCCGCTTCGGGAGGCGCCGGCCCTGGCTGCCGCTCGGTGGAGGGTGGGGTTTTGGAGGGTCGGGGGACCTAGTGACTAGTTATGTTATGGACTTGTTAATATCATAACCCCAATTAGGATCCCTGTTAGGGTACCTATAGCTCTACTTAATATCTTAGGGGGCAGGGGTTTTAGGCTTAGGGCATTGCAGGGGTCGGAATGGTTAACACCACTGGGTGGTTTATAAGGTTAAAGGGAGTAAGCTGGAATGCATCCTCAATGTTCGTCACTGATCGTGCGGGTTTCAAGTTCGCCTCAAGCCCTAAACCCTAAACTCCTAAGCCTTGCTGTGGGGTTCGCATGCAGTGTGTATCAGCCGAGTATGCTAGAATCCTGGCTTGGTTGACCTTGAGCCCCAAAACCAGAGCGCTAAAGCCTTAGCCCAAGATTCAGTCGCCAGCTCGAGGGGTAGGATTGTTTGTGTTTTGAGGTTGAGGGCCTGGTTTCAGGGTTTAGGTTCTAGGATGTGGGGCCGAGGGTTAAACGCAGTGTTTTAGGATCTAGGCGTTTCACAGCCGTGGGCATGGCTCGCCTTTGGCTCCAGGTTGTTTCAATTTTTGAGGGCTATTCTGTACAAAGTTTATTTTAAGGGGTCATAGCCTGCGCTTGTTCATGGTTCGAGGTTCCCCTCAACCGCCGGATCGAGCATAGCACAGTTTATGAAACTCCAAGCCCCACTCAGGTAGATCCTAACTGTCCTAACTCAACCCAAAATACCGTAGCTCCTATGAAACTTCCTTGAAAACTCCGGCAACCCACTTAACCTAAACGATACCTCATCGTCAACCGTTTCAAGGTTTCGGCTTCAGGGTTTTGAGCTTGCTATGCACTGAACGGCAAATCCCTAAACCCCCCAGAGCAGTCCTTATAGTAACCCATGCAAAGAGCCCTCATATTATGGTATGTTGTTAGTCTTAGATATATTGTTTTAGTGTAGTATAGTTTATCTTAGTCTTAGTACATATCAGTATGTTTTGGTAAAGTGTATTGTATAAAGCATATTGCGGTGCATTATTGTAATCGAATCCTACACGCATAGTCGTCCTCCTAGTAGCTCATGCAAAAAAAGGAGCAATCGACTCCTTCAGCTTAGGCTCTTGGCTTAAACCCTAAACCTCATAGCATCTTACAGCCTAAACCCAGATCCGAATCCCATTCGACTCCCTCAAAACTAAGGCTCTTTGGCGGGCCCTTCATGGCCGTGGCATACGTTTGCGTCTGGAACCGGCTCCCTCTCGAGACACCGCAGGCAAGGCTCCCTGTGCTCAGATGGGCAGTTACCCATAGGCCCCTAAGTAGTTCCTTCTTGGGGTTTATATTTAGAATCCGATAAGGTACTCCCAAAAAAGGAACTACCCAGGGGCCTATGGGTAGGGTCCTTTTTATGAGGGTGCCGTGCTATTTGGGGGACCTACAAAGGGACCCTAATTTCGAGAGCTACCTGTGGAGTATATACTTTTAGCCCTAAAGTGTCGATAAAAGGGATTGCTTTGAAGCCTAAGTACATAGTATATGGGTAGACCGTTAGGGTTCAGCTGTGCTGAATTTGGGGTTTTGGAGGGTTTTATACCAGGTTCCGTGGGGCTTCCTGGGTTTGTTTGGCTTGGGGTTTCAGGTGGCTTTCGAGGGTTTGGCCGCCGCAGTCGCTCAGGTATCTCTCGCAAGCAAAATGCTCTCATCCGGGGTCTATACCGCCTTAAACCTAAAGCGTACAAGGACACCAGAATCCTTCACCCTAAGCCCTAAACCCTAAACCCCAAGCTAGTGAACTTTCGAAACCGAGGACCTAAGCACTGGGCCGAACTCCTCAACCCTACCTAGCCCAAGAATCCTACCTTTTTCAGGAATTTGTGAGGAAGCAACCTTAATGAGTACAACAAGCAACCCTGCAACTTAGATAGCACCAGGGGGAAATTTAAACTTTTTGGGCTTGCATATTGAGTCTTTCTTGGAGAGTTTGAACTTTTTTAGGCCCGGTGATTGAAGAAGAGAGACAAAGAACCCCAAAAAGGTGGTTTTTGGAGGCTGCCGGTAGACATAGCCCCATGTCGGAGACCCCAGCCGGCCGTACGGCAAGCCTTGCGGCGGGAGGTTGGAGATGGCTTAGTAATTTCAGCTGGCCCGATACCCCGGCCTCAAACTCCTAAACCCCTATTTCGCGACCAAAGAGTGTGGACGGAAGGTTGTCCCGATGAAGGGGTTTGAGTTAGGGGTTGTCGGGTTTGTTGTTTTCAGGAGATGAAGATGCTCTATTATCTCGGCTCGTACATGGCCGTCAGTTTGGGCCTCACTTCCATAGCGGTGCAGATGCTTGGCTGTTTGATGGCTATAGTCCGGAACCGAAACACCTACAACCCAAACCCTAAGCCCCTAAACCCCCAAGCAAGAAAACCCTGAGCAAACCCCAAAAGCTCCGCACACCCTCAAGTCCCAAAGTTCCCTAAAGCTTGAAAGATGCAGTATAGTTGTATCTAGACTTTATGGTTGGGGTGGTTTTATCTAGGCGTTGCGGTCCCAACAGCAGCTTTCCAGTCGTAACGGATCTTGAGCCCAAGAGACTCACTCGTCAGTGGGCTCTTGAGTTCGGGCCTGTTCCGATCTACCTCTCTTCCTATGGGTAGTTCTCTCAATTAGGGGCTTTTCGGTAAGGTCCCCAAAATGGCACGGCACCCTTGTAGACAGGACCTCAAAAGGGACCTTAGATGAGAGAATTACCCATATACCTATCAATCGATCTACCTGTCAATCTATCTGTCGTCCATTTGCAGAAGCTCTCTTGTATGAGAAGGGAGATGGGTGGATGGCAGCATGGGCAAAACCTGCAGCCCAACTCCAGTGCTGCAGGCCTCAGTCTTGGGACTCGCAAGATAAGGGCTGGAATCGTTACCTATACTGTTCCGTAAAGTTCTTCGGGATAATTCTAGTACGGTATATATATAAATATACATACCCAAGCCCTGTTCTGATGATTGCGGCTCCTACATTGGGCTTCTTTCCTGGTATAATCTGAACTCCTGAACCCCCAAAGCCCAAACCCAAACAAACCTAAACCCCAATTCCTCCCCAGATCCCGAACTGCCCTCTATCAGAGCCTAGACACCGCTCAACCCTCAACCTCTACATCCCTGCAGTAAACCCCCCGAGCCGCCGCCCTTGCCTGAAACCCTATGGGCCCTGGACTACACGCTTCAAGCAATGCCGTCAAGGAAGCCTTAATGGGTCACCTAGTACATCGAGCCTCTCTCAGGGCTATCAGAGCATTTCAGGATCGGTGCTTTGGTGCCGGAGTTAACGAGCGACTACAACGAGCGGACCATAGCCGCGGGTTTTCGAGTCACTGGGCCCTGAAGGGCGTCGGATTCAGGGCTTTTAAAGGGTTTTAAGGATTTTGAGGGTTTTAAGGGTTTTTAAGGGTTCAGGGCTCCTGGCTTTAGGGTTGAGGGTTTTGCAAGGGTCTAGGATTTGCGCTTACTCTAAACCCTTGCATCCTTTCTTGGGATTTAGGGTTTAGGGTTGTGGATCCAGGGTCGAGGCTTGGGGATGCAGGCTTGAATCTGTTCAGTTTAAGGTAGCACAAGGAGGGGGTCAGCGACAGGCGGCACATTGTGATGGGCTGTTCAAGACTTGAGGTCCTTTCAAGCAACGGGTGTGTTCCCTGACGCTAGGCGGAAGGCACCAAAAGCCGTACTAGCTTGCTAAAGCAATCCATCCGCAGTACATGCATATCTACACATATGCATAGAAACTTGCATGCCCACATTCATGAATAAGACAGATGTGCGCACTTTTGCTTATACTCATATGCAAGTACGTATGTATGTATGTATGTATGTATGTATGTACGTATGTATGTATGTATGTATGCATGTATGTATGTATGTATGTACGTATGTATGTATGTATGTATGTATGTATATATGTATGTATGCGAGGATGTGTGTATGTATGCGAGGATGTGTGTATGTATGTGAGGATGTGTGTATGTGAGGATGTGTGTATGTGAGGATGTGTGTATGTCTGTCTGTATGTATGTCTGTCTGTATGTAGGTATGTAGGTATGTAGGTAGGTATGTATGTATGTATGTATGTATGTATGTAGGTATGTCTGTATGTGTTTCTGTATGTGTTAATGTGATGTACTGTAATGTAATGTAATGTTATGTAATGTTATGTAATGTTATGTAATGTTATGTAATGTTATGTAATGTTATGTAATGTTTGTCAATGTTATGTAATGCTATGTAATGTACTATATGCAATGTATCAGTCAATGTATGTAATGTATGTATGTATTTATGTATGTCTGTATGTATGTATGTATGTATGTATGGACAGAGATGCAGCGTGAGGCCGATGGATTACCATGTCTACAGTGTCAGTACTTCCACGAGTGCCGCTAACTTGTGCAGACATGGATGGGTTCCGTACGCACTGCACTAGGTGCTAGTTGGAAGAAGCGGCCGATGGCCGAAACCGGGGAAGCGACCTTAAACCTACTTGCAAATTGCGCCTAGGTGATCGGTGGCAATATCTTTGGCGTGGTTTTCGCAGTGCTGCACACAGGGCTGGCCGCTTGGAACAAAAAGGACAGGGTACTATAGTCCTATGGCACTATGGGCCCTGAGCCTTAACTATATCATACTTTCTCCCGAAGTGCGAGGCTTCAATCCCTGAGGCCCAAACTGTGAGATACACGAGTCTTGGCTCCGAAGCCCACCAGACTCCTGCCACTGGATCGATGTGTCGCTTGGAGTTCTAGGAGCTCAAAGGTGTCTCAACATCAGGGCTCAGGGCTGCAAGCAGAAACTTGAAGCGGCGCTAGTACCGTTCTAGTTCAGGTTTTGTCCGGTGCTGAATAGAGTTCAGTACGAGACCTTACTAATACTACACGACCTGCGGAAATGCGAGAGATGTTCTGTGGACGTGCACGAGAGAGGCAACATCCGCAAGCCAACAGAAGGCCAGATAACGCGAAGCTGAGATTCGCATTACCTATGGCTTGCAGGGTTGAGGGGATAAGGCTGTCCGATTTAGGGAAACGGATCGTCCCGATGACATGGCGAGCTGCACTTTAGGATTTGACGGCTACAACTTCTATATAGCTTCTTGGAAAACCACGTGAGAATCTACCTTCGCCTGAAACTCGAAACTCCAAAAACTCCTAAAACCCTGACGTTGACTGAGCCCTGGATCGGTAGTACATTCCCGCACACCCACAGATCTTTTCAAGAGACACCAGGACATTCCAAAGGCATACAACATGCCCGAAGCCCCTCGCGAAGCCACCTAAAGCAACAAACAAACTCCTAAACACAACCCCCCAATCCCCCCCCCACTCTGAACCCTAAACCCTCTCCCCTTCAAAGCAGCAAGACATAGAAAGGTCGGCCCGGAGGCTCAACCGGAATCTTTCATGCTCAGCGCCACTTGGACTTCTCCAAGCCTTGGGTTTTACTGTCGGTGGGGTTTCTTTTTCGTTTCGTTTTGCTCAGTGGTTTTATGTTTTTTGTATAATATGGTCCTACAAGGGTTTTTGCAGGATGGATGTGGCTGCGTTTCTTGACTGTGATGAATCCGGGCTCTAAGAAAGGAGTATGGTTGGAGGATGTTGGGGCCCACGCCTAGAAGACAGAAGGCCTTTTGGGCCATGCTTGCCTTAGAGAATTGTTGTTGGTTGTGGGTGTTTAGGAGCTGGTGGTTAAGGTTAGGATGCTAGTGTGTGTATGTGTGTGGGTAAGATTCGGTTTTGACTGGGGTTTAGGGTTTGTACCCTGAGGTTTGTCGGTTGTGGTGTGAGTGTTCAGGCTTTGCGGCCGTCCTGGCAAACCCTTCTCGCAGACCCTGAACCAAAACCAGCTTTAAGCCTTCGCTTAAAGTCTCGAAAGTTTCCATGAGGGCAGCATTGAGCCAAGAAGTCTACACTAGAGCTTCGAGTGACTTAGAACAACCAGACGGGCAACGCGAAACTATACGCATAAATGATTTGAGCAGATTGAGCAATATCCTAAACCATTGCAAGCACAGGCAGTCATCTGCGCCAGTTGCATCTGGATCTTCTCATGGACAGTTTTCTGCGGCATTCAGGAACGGCCGGTGGTAGAGGAGCCGCACAATCATCAACGTTTCTGTGGTTTGGGCTTTTTGATGGCCTCGAAGTGCTGACGGTTTAAAGGGCTCTCGGTATCCGAGCTTTGGGAGATTTTTCAGCACGTGTTGGGAGGATGTCACTATTTTCAATCAGCATATTTTTTTCCCCGGCCTCGAAGCAAGTCGCCCCACCAGGCGCAAGGTGAGATGAGCAAGCTTCTCATTCCTCAACCCCATATCTGGATGTGCCCACGGCCTTAAACCCCAAACCTGGGCAGCCCAGGATGTGCCCGATTGCAAGCAAGCCAACAGATTGTTTCCCAGGAAATCTCTTTGATAACCGCAGCCCCCGGCCGCTGTAGGAACCTGATTCATCGAGAAAGCTCCTTGTTCTCAAATAAGTTCTTCATACCCTAAGCCCTAGGCCTTATACATATTGCTACCAAGGCGTCCTCACCGCAGTTCCTGAATTGTTGTCCGTTTGTTTTCCGAATGCTTGTTGCAGGAAGTTCCGGTGGCGACGGGAATCATTACGGAAATCTCCCTGGCTTTGCGAAACAAAGCCTTTTGTTACGTGTGTCTGATGCGCCTTGCCATGAAGTTGGAAACAAAAAGCCTTAAGCACCCTTCAGCCCAATTCTGAAGCCTGCTCTTATGTGCTGGGTGTTGGGGGGCTGGGTTGACTAGTGTAGTAGCAAGGGCTGATATGTTTTGGGCAGTTTGGGCTCGAGAGCCGCTAAGGGCCTGGGGTCTCCCTCTTGGGCGTAAGTTCGGAGCATAGGATTGCGCAGTTAGCTCTCTCTCTCTCTCTCTTTCGGCCGTGTGTTCGTGGCAGGTCGCATCCTCCGCGAATAGCCAAACACGAACCTTAAATCCAGAGCTTTAGGTCCAAAGGGAGTTGGAAGGCTTTCAGAGGGCTTTGGTGCTTGTGCCTGTGACTATCCGTCAGGGTTAAGGGCCGTGGCTTGTGAACTTATGGGGGATTTTGATATTCACGGATACATTAGTCATTTGGGGTCCTGATATCCTATCACATAGAGCTGACCCTAAATCCCTAAATCCCTAAACCTCTAAACCTCTAAACCCTAAACCCTAAAACCCTAAAGCGCTGAAGCCCTAAATCCTAAACACAAAACTCCATAGTAGATTCCTACTTCCTCTGACACACCCCAAGAACCCAAAAACATGCAGGTACGTGGCCGGGCCCACAGCCGTAACGCTGATGCAGTCCAACATCGCGCTCTTCTGCAAGTACATCCTCGAGGAGCCTGTGGTCAAAGAGGTTTAGGGGTTTAGGGGTTTGGGGGTTTTAGGGGTTCAGGGGTTCAGGGTTTAGGGTTTTGATAGCATTAAAGGCCAAAACACGGCTTGTCTTAACACCAGAGGTGCCTCAGTTTAGGGGTCCATGCCACATCAAAGGAGTCCTGATCATTAAAGGCGTGTCTTGAACATAGGGGAATCTGTCTTCACCCTACTCCTTCGGGTCCCGTGTTTTGTGAAGCGAATCAGTGGTGCTTTAGCTAGGATCCCTGTCAAGCTCCAGCAATCGCAATGGCAGAGCCGGGTTGGATGTATGATGTGTAGATTTATACAGCATACGAATATGTAGTATGTATAGTTTGTATAACATGTTTAGTGTGTGTATATATATATTTATATAGTATATGCAGCATATCAAATGCATGTGTATGCATATATATATATACACAGTATAGTGTATAAAGTATAATCCGTGCGTATCTATATAGTATATCGTATATCTTGTATATCCATGTACAGTATACGCAGTAGAAGTATATCGTGCATACAGTACAACTATATAGTGTCTACTCTATAGCTCTATGACGTGTGTATGCATGCATGGATGTATGTATGTATGTATGTATGTCTGTAGGATATACATGTTTATAGAAATAAGCCCTAAACCCTAAACCCTAATACATATTTATAGAAGCGTCCTTTAAACATGAGCCGTTTATTGAACAGAGCCTGGCTCGCCGAGAGTCTCCGAAGCCGGGGCTTTTCGGCTCTTGGTCCTTCAGCCGGATCTAGGGTTTAAGGGTTTAAGGTTTGGGAGTTTAGGGTTCAGGAGTTTAGGGTTTAGAGTTTTGGGTTTGGGGTTTGGGGTTTAGGGTTTAGAGTTTAGGGTTCAGGGTTTAAGGTTTAGGGGGTTTGGGTTTAGGGCTTTAAGGTCTAGACTTAGGCTTTAGGATAAAGAAATCCAGGCTATCCTAAGCACTCATGTAGACCCCTGTTTCTGAAGACCCTCTCGTTAGAGGGATGATGAAAGGGATCCTAACATCAAGACCGGCGGTTTATTAGCCAAAAGTATAAGGTAAAGCTGAAACTCAAATACCCTCCCCCCTCCCCGAAAGCTCCGGTCTCCTTGTCTCCTAGTCGCGAAACCAGCGAAGTTGTGCCGAATAGGGGCTCAGTTTGAGCCTCTGAAGTTGTTAGCCCACTTGGGGCATCCCGATATCACTGTACTGGTAACTCTGAAACAAGGAAGGAAGCCGGAATCTGTTCACCAACACCCGCGAACTCGAAGCCCTAAACTGATACACGCCAAGGATGAGGCCATTCTCATCCTTATTCTTCCAATTGTTCAAGGCTCTCCGGGGCCGTCATGTTGCTTTCGAAAGCACAGTTTTTGCTTAAACCTACAACAGATCATCTCGAAGGGTCGGGGAAGGTGAACGTGAAGTAGGACGAAGAACCCATATACCGCCAAAGCCTACGCCCTAAACCCGAAACCCTACACCCGGAGCCCTGGAGTCCTCGGATTCGTTTTGAAGGCTTCCTTGTGACCCAGATGTGCCAAGGTTCTTTAAGTATGACCACAAGCCTCTAAAGGACGAGGTTTAGGGTTCAGGGTTCCGAAGGCTCTGTGCATTTTCGGAAGAAAAGCTTAAAAGGTGAATGGATATCTCCATTAGGCTCATGAGGCGGTTGGACAAAGGTTTCGGGAGTTTTGGGTGTAGGGTTTTGAGTTGAGGGGTTAGGGCGCCCTGAAAGGGATGATGTTCGCCACCCGAACTACGACCAAACACCCTAAGTTAGGCCCAGAGCCTGAGCCTGAAGGCGCGAAACTCTTTGCCCTCCATCGTGTGTTCAGGGTCTGGGGGCCTTCGGGGGCCCTGAACCCTAAACCCTAAACCGGTAGGGGTGTCGGATCTAGAGTTGTTTATGGGTTCTGCAGGGGCTTCAGAAGGTAGAGCCCGGCTTGAGAGGTCGGGGTCTGATTGCTTTCGCCTTTGCTTTGGTCTGCACTCCAGGCTTTTGGGGTTTAGTCTCGGGTTTAGGGTTTAGGGGTTTACGGGTTTAGGGTTTGGGTGAACTTGGAAGGATTCACGCGAAGCACCGCAGCATAGGGGGTTAGTTCTCCCCAGCCTTGCTGTATGGGTGATGTGTTTTCCGGGGGAGGGCAAGTGTTGAAGTATGTGGTTGGTGATTGCTACTCCTAAATCCCAAACCCTTGCCTTAATTCTTCCCAAAACTCTAAACCCTGTGAGGCACAGCTTTGCTGATGATTCCTGTCTGGGTCGTGGTGGGCCAGAAGACCAGCAAGCGCCACGTGTACATGATCGGAGGCCCGGTTCCACATGGGTGGCTCCCGTAATGGTGCATGTGTCCATAATACCCTAAGGGTCCATGTACTCAATAGCATACTTAAATAGGGACTACTTGCCAGGCCAAAGTATATGCTATTTGGGCACATGGACCCTTAGGGATATGGGTTCTCAGAGGTTTAAGTAGTACTTGACAACCTCGGAGAACCCGGGTTCCTTTATAGGTATTCGAAACGAGGTAGAACCTATCTGGCACATGGACTGACAGTGTTCTTTCTGAGCGAGAGGCCGTTTAACAAGAGTGAGGGTTCCATTTTGGGGAGGGGGAGCCAAAATAAGCCTCGATGCAGAGATCAGAGAACCGTCCTAAACCCGAAAATCTCACACCTGCAACCCCAGTCTCAATAGCAAAACCCAATCCCTAAAGCCCAAATGGCAAATCCCAAACCCCAAGGCGTAAACCCAACAACCTAAGCTCTTGTCGGAGGCTGCTTGCTTACCCTTGCCATGTCCTGCCTGAACTTCATTGAGCCTTGGATGACGCAGTCGTCCTAAACCCTAAATCCCTTCCTTAGCTGATTGGGATGCAGGGCGCAGGGCTTGGATCATCCCGGAGCCCTAAACCCGAAGCTTAGGGCTACGTTCGAGGTCGGAAGTTAGATGTTCGGACAGACTGAGAGGACGAGCCGACTTGAGCTTTCTTCGGAGTCCTTTGGCCAACCGCAGTGGAGCTAGCAAGGCCAACCATTTTAACGTTAAAGCTTCTTAAGGTCGAGAAATGTTGGGAAATTTTTGATAAAACGCTGCAAGGTCTGTAAAGTTCCGTGGTTCCGACTTTGTTTGTTTATGTTTTACATGTCAGGTCTACTTAGCGCTTAGGTGCATTTGACCCCCCGCCCCAGAATCAGAAACTCAGGTCTCTTATTGCAAGGTTACGAGTCGAGGGTTCAAGATCTCTTATACCAGGGTCTCAGGGCTGGGGTTCAAGGTCTCTTGCTAGTCACGCGGAGCTGTTTAGGTTTAAGGTTCTCGTTCTCTAGGTTTAGGGTTTCAGATTTCTCGCGCCGCAAATCCCTACTCGAATTGTTCACGGCTGTGCAGTTTTAGTACCCAAAAGCCGTATTCTAGTTATTCAGTCCGTCAAACCCTAAACCTTATAGAGCCTAAACCCTGAACCGTAAACCCTTGTATACCTGGACAGCGCAGCTGTGAAATTCTAGGAATACGATACAAACATCATCACAAACAGCAAACGCGCCCCCCAACAGCAACAGCTAGCACAGCCGGCCAACCCCAGCCCGCCCAGCCCCAGCCCAGTCCCATCTTCGAAGTCAACAGCAAAATCGAAATTGCTCAAAACCCCGGATTTCCATGAACCCTAAACCCTAATAAGCCAAAGCCAGAAAAGGAGTCTACCTCGGCAGCTGTAGTCGCCGCCGCTGTCATTGGCGTGGCCCTGGCCGTGCCATACCTCGCGCCCAAACTGCCATTGTTTGCCCTTTAGGGTTGTTGTAGAGGTTTCTGGGTTTGCGGGTTTGGTGTTGAGGTTTCGGGGCGTGGGGCTTGGAGGCGGATGTGATCGTAGAACACCCACAGGGGCTAGCAGTGCCCTTGTGTCAACATTGAAAGTATTGTCCTTGCGCCTTGTCCCTGACGTCCTGTTTGGTGCCTACACCTGAAACCTGAAATATGCGAGTGTTGATAGGCACAAGAGCTGGTATCTTTGTCGTGTTGCCTTCCAAGAAGCATCCGAAACCCGAACTCGGAACCCCCAGCCAGAAATCCTTTCAGTTTCGGGCCATACCCTAAACCCTAAACCCTATAGAAGAGGTCTTAAAGCATCGAACCCAAGGCTCCATAGCAGCCTTTTGCCCAGAACCCTATAGCGTTCCAAACCGAACCCCTGGGACGCCCTAGGAAATCCGGAAATTTTTAGAATGCCCTGAAAGGACATAGCGTAGTGGCCTTTGGGGCATGTAGAAAGGTAGGCCTCGAATCACCCCCGCAAGCCGCCCCAGGTGCCTGTCTCCATGCTTCCAGACGTCGTGGAGGCACCTCCGGTTGTACAGGGCTCTTTGCCACTTAGGGGACTGGGACCTGCATATGAACAGTTCCCTGATATGGCTATATATACCACAAAATAACCCAGGACCTTATCCGAGTCATTTAGCCCTTTTGGTATGAGCTAAAGCCAGTTTGCCATTGGAGCCCGAAGCCTTGAACCCAGTGCCCTAGGCAAGCATTTCCATGGTTTTGCTTGAAGCCAGACTTGTACGGGCGACATTAGGGTTTAGGGTTCAGGGTTTTATCCTAGGAAGTAGAAGTCGTGGGCTTGCATTGTGAAACATGCCAACTATCCATTATTTACTGTATTACATCTAGGGGGGCCATTGATTCGTGCTTTGACTTTGACTCCCCATTCTTCACTTAAGGGCAGGGGGACACTGATGCTCTAAAACCTAAAACTTTCTTGTTTCTGCTGGTGACTCGGAGAGTAACCTAAACCCTATTCTAGTAACCCTAGTGGCCCTATATAGCAAGACCAATGATCGTCTTTTTTTAGGTATTCTTCTAAGAGCCTTCGCAGTCGCCCGTTTTGTACCACCGAAAGCCCCCAAATAACACCAGGCAGATGAGGAGATGACAGGGCGGCGGCGTGAAGGAGTTCTTGCTGGACTCTTCACCACTTCCCTGCACCTTGGGCGAAGTTTCAGGGCATGTAGGGTGTTGGGGTTTTGGGCTTATAGGGTGGTTGCCGCGCGTTTTGGTGTGTTGGTTGTAGGCATTGTTCCATGTTGTCTTTTGCTGCCGCTATGATGCAAAGCTTTCAGAGGAGCGACAGTAGCGGCAATAGATTCAATAAAGGCTGTTGCAGCATCAGCATGGAGCACAGCAAGGCAAGACCAAGAGCAGATATGTAGTTGCAACATAAGAGGGCTCGCAATTGTCGGAAGTTTCCCCAAGACCACCCGAATCAGCCTCTCAGGTTCATCGCTTGGGGCCTTTCTGCACGCGCTGTCCTCAACCCCCGCAGCCCCTGAGAAGCCTAGGAAGCTGTCGGCCACGGCCGCAAACGTCTTGACCAACTTTACACTGGAGCAGGCCGGTGAACTGGGTCAGACCAAACAAAGCAGAGCGGATATATAGGCTGTTCAAATCTATCTAACAACAAATAACAGCTAGTGCAGCGAGGTCTTGTCCTTCGGTGTCCGGGCCCGAGGCGACTGCGTGTCCCCAGGCCTACACCCAAACCCGAACTCGATTTGCAAAAACCTCTAAGCCTACACCCACGTGCTGGTGAAGTTTGCTGCAAGGGGTTTTGGGATCCTGGAGTCTGATAATCTAAAGGCTGCTGTTCACCTGCAGGAGCACTAGTCACTAGCCTGCTCATCAGCTTAACATAAGTAAGAAGCTTGAATCATGACGTAGCACTATGCCTTGGTGTTCCTTACTTTCAGTATGCAACTTCCAATATACCCCCAAACCCCATTCAAGTAACAGCGGCCCCAGCACTACCCGCCAAACCCAAGGCTGATCCAGAAGGTGGTTGCATGGACATAGAGCTGCCCCAAAACCTCAAGCCATGAATCTCAAACCCGAAACCCAAACCCCCCGAGAATCCAAAGTTTCCCGACCCTCAGGGTCCTTCTAAAGCAGCCTAAACCCTCAGCCCTGAACCCTGCATCCCACAAAAAGCTCAAGACAGGCTGGCTACATGGCGCCGCCCTCCCGGTGCGAAGCAGCAGGCATCCTACTGCCTTTCTTGAAGATTGTCAGAAGCCGGCTTAGGGGAACCTCTCTTGGAGACCCAAAAGCCTGAGACCCCTCACCCTTGGCATCAAAAATAGCCCAAAAGCCTTGCACAATAGGGTCTTTGGGCCCAAAAGCCTTAAAACATGAGTCCTTTGAGGGTAAGGGTCATAGCATCGTAGCAGGTTTCCGACAAAGAGACTCTCGGTTCATAGACAGGCCTGGGATTTCCTTATATCAAAAAAAGGGGGGAGGGTGTTCAAAGAGGTCAAGCTCATGGTCTCTAGTTTTACGGTCGAGGTTTTAGGTCCTCTAGATAAGTAGCCTCTGAAAAGAGTGCTACTGGTGGTTATGTTCATGATCGTCTTTTCGATGATGTTTAGAGATTGGAGCTTGAGAGCGGATCCTCTGAGGCTTGGGCGTTCAGTGACTTGACGTGTTTGGGGGCACTTTTTGCAATAGATATAATAAGGCACCCTGAAGAACAATATGGGTGTTTATTTAGGCTTGGATAGATGTGTGGTGTGCACATCTGGCAGTAGAATAAGCTTGCAGGAAGCCCTTCGGGATCATGCAAGGCCGGGTTTTGCCGTTCAGGATATGTCGAAACCACAACCCTATACCCCCCCCACCCCCCCAATGCCTAAACCTTAGATTAGATGATTCCTCAAGGCTGGTCCTACACAGTATTTAGGTGCCGGAAAGTTGGACGATACTTGTCCTCATGAAGCCAAAGAGTCGGCCTACACGATTTTCTATCTCCGAATCCGTACTTCACGATCCCATCATTTCAGGATCAGGGCTTTGAGAATCTTCCGAGGTTCTCCCGTTCAAGAGTCGGTTGCCTGAAGCCTTCGGATTGGGAGCCCCGGAAACACCAACTCCGAACACGGAAGTTAGGCTCCGGGCGTGCATATTGGGGCATGTATAAATGCAAGGATGGATGATGGAAGGGATGTTGCTTGCAAGGATGGATCGATGGCTATGTATAACTATAGAATGTATAGAGACATGTTTGAACATACGCATTGGATCACACTCTGCTAAGCCCACCCACACGGTCGAAGACAGCGCGATGGGGAGCAGGTCCTGCAGCACTGGCAGCACCGGTGTCGGTGATAGATGTGCAACCTGTCACCGTTCGGCAGGCCTTGCGTGGCCCAGCAGCAATTGACGACAGCCCTTAACCCGAAATTTGCAAGTTTTAGGATTACGGCTTCGTAGGGTCTTGGTCTTGGGGCTTATTGGCATTCTTTAGAGCTGGCTGGTCTTTGCCCTTAGCAGGAGTGGGAGCGGGGTGACTTGCAAGCTTCGCAATTGGTACTTCCCGACACTCTAAGCAGTCGTCCCACCCATTCGGGAGCCCATACTGTAGACATGTTGCACATTGCATGGCTTCACTGAATCATGGTCAAATCCTCTAAGACTCGTACTGAAAGAGCGCACATCTTCCCATCTCCTTGGCCCCCGAGCCCAGACAAATGTTTTACGAATACTGGTTTAGAATCGCCAGCAGCATCATCACTGATATGGGTGGGTCTCTATATCAGGGTCCCGTTTCGGTTCTTTTTTACAAGAGGGGCCCTGATTTCGACATATGGGAGCTTTCCAAGCCGAAGGGACTGTTTGAAACCTTAGGCCCTCAAAACCCTTAGGAAATTCCGAAAATGTACCGGAGCTGAAGCCTGCACCAGCCTTAAATCCTGAACCCCAAAAGCCCTAAATCCCGAAACCCAAGAAGGCTGGCTGGTGGGGCCGATCCCCGCAGCATTAGTGGTTTTGGCGACCTTCGCTGCTTGGCGATTTCCGATCACGCCCGCGGTGCACGCAAAGAGGCGGGGCATTGGTTGGGGGCTGCAGAGTCCCTTTGGGGGCTTTAAGGGGGTGCCGCACAGGTGTCGGACTACTGAATAGTAGCATCCCCTGAAAGTGTCTCCTGAAGGTAGACTACAATGTGTTGTTGTCTCTTTTCGGGTTGGGGTCGTCAAGGCTTTAAGGGCTTCAGGGTTTTAGAGTTTTTGGATTTGAAGCCTGCAGTTGACCAGGGGCTCATGGTTTTGGGGCTTTGAAGGCCTGAGAAGTGCTAGGGTTTGGAGCTGGATTTGTAGGAGTTTTGTTGTTCTTGGCTTGAATGTTTGGGCCTTTTGGGTCAGAGTAATATGGGGATGGTCTGAATGAATTAGTTTGAACTTGACAAGGTCGTCTTAACCTGGCAGTCTACTGCCTCTGACACAAACACCTGAACCCCCGGAGCCCAAATCTTCACCCCTAAATCCTAAACCCTAAACCCTTAAACCCTAAGCCCTAAATCCTAAACCCAAAGCGCTGAACCCTAAACCCT